AACTGCAGTGTCTAAAGTTTTCAAATTCAATCGTTGTGCTGCCCCGTTGATTCATTTTGATGTAATTTCCCTCCCAGTGGCATGACAGCAGCAGTGAAGGACTGGGCAGGTGTAAAACAAGCTTCAGTTCACTTCATAGTTTCTATCATCTCATAAATTGTAAGACAAAGGAATATACTTTTTTCTTTTTTAGTCCTCCTTAGATGTAAGATCAGAGGGAAAACTGTACAAAGTTGCCCTTTGGCTGCGTTCATAAAGTCATGCCTGGTCATAGCAGGGGAAGACTTTTCTCAAAAGAAAAAAGTGCTTAAGCCAAAATGGTAAATATCTGAATAAAATGGGCCGTCTGTTCAGAGAGGATTTTTAGCAATCGATTGCAGTTTGGTTAATTTATTAACATACTGTTATTCATTCAAGCTTGAACATTGGTTCCCATGACACATCGCTAATGTATGATAATGAGGAGGAAAACCCTTTGCAATCGTTATGTGCACCTGGTACAGCAGCCTTGGACATGACATGTACCTTAACTCAATGAAGCGTAAGTCTGGAAAAACAACTTCCTTCATCGGAAAATATGCTCAATTAGCTGTTCAAAACTATGAACGAGGATGGACTGTTTTCAGTTTCGGTCTCTTGTAAGTAAGGATTTATTGGCTGAGATCTGTATCTGTACTATGATTGCTCTTTCTTTTTTCTTCCATTGCTCAAATTATTTTGGGAAGTTTTGAGCACTTTTCAGGGGAGGGCTGGAAATGTTCAAGGGAAAGATGAAACCTCTGTCACTTTTCCCCAAACCTATTTCTCTCTTGCTAGGCAAGGAAGTGAACAGTTTTTCTGTACTGTACTGCAAGCACACTAAAGATCCAGGACCAGTGTGGCTTGTCACTCCTTGTTTTATTTTAGAGATTTCTATTAGTAGTATCCTGAATAGAAAGCCAGACTTTTTTGTTTTAGTTCAAAGCCTGTGTGCTGTTGTGCTTATTCAACTCCTACAACTGGGAGGTATGGAGAGAAATTGGTTTTGTTTCCTCATTTGCCACAAAAGGATTTGACACAAGCTCCTCCATAGTTCTTTGATTATGAAATTGTTGCCCTGTTTGTTTTACAAGCATGTTTTTCAAACCCATCCTGTCCTTCTTGCCTTAGGGGAACCTGGAAGCCAGGATTGTAGATAAATGAGCTGATAGTTGAGATTGATCTGTGTGGGATCTCATCTGTGTGGAGAGAAGAGTATTTGGGGTTTGGTTTGGATCAATTTCTAAATGGGAAGCTTGTGCTTTTTCAAAACTATATGAACTAAACTTAGTACTGGAAGTATTTTTGGATAACAAGTGAGAAAGCTGTGAGGACTTTGCTCGGGAGTACTGAAGAAGTGTGGATTATCAACATATCTTTATTTCTGAGACTTACTGGGGCAACTTTGTATTTTACCATAGTGTTAGTTGAAGCCAAACCAAGTCCCAACATGCATTATTGCAGAGTACTTTTTTTTTGAGGAAATTTTAAAAATCCAGATCCAATAGGTGATTGGCAACCTATGATCTCGTGTCCCTGTCACTGCAGCAAATAGCCCAAAGGTAAGAGGGGCTGTGCGGGTAGCATGAAATTCAAACAGGAGCAGCAGGCAGTAGGTTTGTACTGTGGCTCCTCTGACTTAATGCAGTCAGGGAGTTAGAAGCTTGCTTTGCTCTGTGCCTTTCCTTCTCTTCTCAGGTCTGTGCATTAGTGAGGCTTGTCCTGTGACACCTCTGCTGCCCCACTGCGTGCCTCGCTGAAAATAGCACATAAGAACACTACCGGGATTATATCTTTTATTTTCTTACATGGAGTGATTGGCGTTTCTTTAACGGGCTGCTGGAAGAGGAAGAAGTGAAGATCACAGTATAGGTAAACTATAGGAGGATGGTAAATCTTCCAGATAGCTTATCAGAAGAGAGCAGAGTGGTTGTGGAATGACCGCTGTTCTGTAGGGCACAAGAGGGTGCTGTGCACTTAGCAGATAGCAGGCTGAACCCCTCGTTTAGTAGTTAATATCTTATTAGATAGAAAGCTTTGGAGAATCTCTGTGCTATCCAAAATTGCCTGAAATGTCTGGCAAGTGAATGAAGCTTGAGAAAGATTCACTTTCTGTGCTGTGAGGGAAGCAGATGAGGTACAGAAATGAGCAGTTGCTAAGGAATGAAGGTGAACAGACAAAATGCAATGGGAAATGTTATACAGAGGAAGACAGGTCAGGAAGAAGCTCTCTGAAATCAAAGACAGCAAGAGAGAGGTGTCAGACCCTGGCAGGTGGCCTGTGATGGCAGGCCGTGCAGCTGGGCTTGCAGATATCAGTGCTGTTACACCTTGGCAGTGAAACTCTGTTTGCCAAATGCTGACATTTGACAAACCTATGGGATGCCTAACCCAAAATATCCAGAGCTTGGGAGTAATCCCTAGTCTCCTACCAACCCTTTCACAAACATCTCAGGAAAGCTCCACAGATTCTGTGGAGAAATTGCAAACTGCATATGTGTACAGAATAAGCTGTGAAGATAGTGTTGCTTCTTGTACAGGGAGTAATATGTAAAGGATACACGTGAGCAGCTCAGGAAAAGGAAGATCTCTTTCTTACAGAAAGGACTTGTAGTTTTAGCAAGGGCTGGTGAAATTTTTAGGGAAGCTGAGTCCTGTTCCTACCCTTGCCACTAACATGTTCTTGGATCTTTCACAAATTGTGCCTTATTGTCTGTAGCCTCCCATCTGTGAAATAAGCATCATGACGCTGAGACATCTCTGAAAAGAAAATGTCAGCATCTGATTCTGTGCATTTAATAGGAAAAGGGTGGGTCTGCATAGGAGGAGCCACAGGGACCCGTAAGTCTTGTGTGTTGATAACTTCACTAAATAAAAAACTAGATCTCTCTATATAAAGTTACCGTTACTACCAGATACCAAGTCAGTTCTGCTTTCCTGTGCTTTATCCCTGACCTAAAGCCTTCATTGAGTTAGGGGCAGAAAAACAGTAAATTACAGCAGGAGCAAGTGTTTGCAAGATATGGCCTTAAAAGTTTAAAAAGTGTCAATTCTACATGAGGAATACTAGTTGCAGTTACTTGTTGATGCTGACTCATTGAATCCTGACCACAAGAGTAATTCTGCATGTTTGGGTGTTTTATTATTATTATTCAGAGGTAGCCTGTCAAGTTTCCACTTTCTCTGTAATTTAAAGGTTAATATTTTAAATAATCATCTCAGGAATTTAATTGGGCTTTGCCCTGGTGATTTAGAGGCAGCTGTGCCCATTGCTTTCTGGGTGGTGTTTTAAAAGTAATTCAAGACATGAAAGACACCTAGAGCAGGGTGTGTGTTTATGGGGCAGATCTAGAGGCTGGGTCAAGGTGGTTTAGCTAAAAGACCTATGAATTAGAAACAAGGTGTGTTGTAAAACGAGAGAGAGGTGTTCAAAGGTATAACCCTTCCTGGTGTGTTCATTTCCTACCAGCACGTCACAGAATTGCTGAGGTTGGAAGGGACCTGGAAATCAGCTAGTCCAATCCCAATGGTTACCCTATGCTGTCTCCATTTGGGTTTTGAATATCTCTGCAGATGGAGACTCCACAACCTTTCTGGGCAACCTATTCCAATGTCTGACCACCCTCACAGCAAAAAAAGTGTTATCTTGTGTTCAGATGTCTTTTAATCTGTGTCTGTAGCCTCTTTTTCTGTCAGTGGGTGCTGTTGAGAACAGGCTGGCTCCTTCTTCGTCCCCCCCAGCAGTTCAGTTTTTCTCTGTACTTAATGAAGGAGAGGTTGATAATACTGCTTTCATTATTTGAGTTTAAGTGCAGGTATCTCGGGAGGATAGGCTATCTTAAAAGGCAATTTTTGTATCCTGTCCTGGATGAAAGATACTCTGAATTCAGTTACGAAATACGACCCTAAGTCGAGATTACTGGCCTCTCTCTGACCTAGGAATGAGCTTTCCAAAAGCATTTTGAGTTTGGGCTCTAATCTTCAGGACACATGCACCCAAATACAATCTGTCTCTTTAGGAAAAAATCTTCCCTGGTAGCGTGTAGGTGTGGCCCAAGCACTAGAGTCCCATTTCTGTCTGCTGGGAGGGAGGGATGGAGGTAAAAGTTAAGCTTGCAGCTGGCAGAGGACTTGCCTCTCTGGGTGTGGATTTGGGGATGTCAGAAAAACACAGACGCCGTGTTGCAAAATCATCTCTGCTGTCCTGTGGGAGACAGGCAGATTGGTGGTCAAATATTTTAACCCCTGAAAATGAAGCAAATCTATTCAGATTCAACTAGCTGAAGATTTCATCCACAATTTGCACTTTTACGTGGCTGTATTAAAAATAGCTGGTTTGGTCATTAAAATAGGAAGGAAAAATCCCCTCACTTTTGAGACCATATTCCTTGTTGTTGCAGTGGGTTATACTTCTTGGTTAAAAGATAATGAGTCATATTTAAATAATACTGCTTCTAAAAGCCGAAGTGGCATCCAGAAACAGCTCAAGTCAGTGTTCCTTGTCTTTGGGCTCCCCCCTTGCTGCTCTTCTGCTCCCTGTTTTACAAATGAAAGAGAAAACAGTCCTTAGCAGTCAACCACCATGCTTGCCTGACCCTCGCTCACATTTCTGGAGGGTGTTGGTCACCTTGATGTAGGCACATGGGAAGAAGCAAAATAATTGATTTCATCAGGGTTTATTAGCTGAAGGGCTTTTTAAGCATGAGCTGTTGCTGTCAGTCACAGGATCAGGTGTGATTTCCCATTTGCTGGAATATACAGCAAATATGCGAACGGGCTCTTGGCTTTTTTTAGCTCACAAAAGCAGGGGAGTCCTTTGAAAGATCCTCCGTTCACCCAATCATCGCCTTCCCTTACGCTGTGCAGCATTGGAATATTCTGACAGTGTAAATCCTCACATTTGCCTCCCTCCCTCTTTCCTTCAGTCACTCTCCCTCCCCCTCTGGAGACTGCTGCTATCGGATCTGTGATGATATGTGATCTCCTGGATACAATCACACACACACAAGTACCAGGCACTGCTGCTCAGCTGAGCAAAATGTCTTTCTCTTAGAAGTGGTGCTCATCACAGCTTTCAAATCCTTGACGATGTTGCCATGCTTTTCTTTCTGCCTTCTGCCTTTTTCTGTCTTTGCCTGCCTGCTTTTCTTACCCGTGGGTCATTTTTGCCCTGCTGTCTGTAGCTGTATGGACTACCACACCATAGATTGCCGGGATCAAGGACTCCCAAGTGTTCCTAATCCATTTCCACTGGATGTACGGAAACTTCTTATAGCTGATAACAACATCCAGGCGATACCAGCTGATTTCTTTATATTTTATGGAGACCTAGTCTATTTGGACTTCAGGAATAACTCCCTCACCACTTTAGAAGAGGGCACTTTTAGCAGTTCTACCAAACTGGTGTATTTAGACTTAAGCTACAATAATTTAACACAGCTTGATGCTGGGACATTCAAATCAGCAGAAAAACTGATCAAATTGAGCCTTGGAAACAATAACCTGGTGGATGTGGATGAGGCTGCTTTTGAGAACCTGGAACAGCTCCAAGTGTTAGAATTGAATGACAATAACTTACAGAGCCTAAACGTGGCAGCCCTAGAAGCGCTTCCCTCCCTGCGGACTATACGCTTAGAGGGCAACCCTTGGGTCTGTGACTGTGACTTTGCCAATCTGTTCAGCTGGATACAGGACAATGCATCTAAGCTCCAGAAAGGTAAAGCTCGGTGGCTGGCAGTGCAGTATGATCGTTTCTCTGCATGTGGGTCTTGGAGGGAAGGAGGGTTCTTGGTCAGATTGTCTGCGTGTTGCCTGCAGTGACCCAAACTGCATTTTGGCCAAACTGTAATTGCATGCTTTCAACAAACGAGTCCATTAAAATGGTGTTGGCTGCTTTTTAGCAGCAGGTCGTCTTCCCAGTTAAGAAATGAAATTTAAAAATTAAACCCTAATAATTTTGATTTATAGCCTAAATTTACATAGGCAGTGAAAGAGCCTTTTCAAATTCATTCAGCCCAGAGCTGATTCTGTTCCAGACTTCATTTTCTCTCTGGTAAATTTATTTTCCACAGTAAGCCCTTTGAGCAGCTGAATATTCTGTGCCAGCTCCTTAGGAAAACCGATTTTTCTCTCGTTTTACTGGTCAGCTATAAAGCTGCTGCAGAAGAGTTAAATCCCCGTTTTGTGCAATTGTGGTTGTCAGTCCTTTCCTGGAAGTATTTTGTTGTGATGCTCTGTGTTTGAAACTCTCTTCGGTAGCTCTTGTCATTAAAATAGCACTGCTTCCAATATTAGGAATAAATCGAAATGGCTCTGGAGCACCCCAAAATGCAGGCCATGGAATTCTGGTATTTGAGCCAGTAATTTTCGGAAAAGCACAGGGAGAAAAGGGATATTAAGACTGCCATGTATAGGGAATCCAGACTATTGCTCCACGTTTCCAACCTGACCCCAAAGCCTCTCTTAATCCAGCTTTAGCAGGAGATCATCTCACAGTTCATGCCTCCCAACAAGCACTAGGGCATAAACTCATGTCACTGAGCTGCCCAGCTGCTCGCAGAGACAAACTGGAGCAGAAAAGCTGTGTAAGGGCTACAGAGGGTATGCAAGTATTGCCTGACATGAGATCGCTGGTGTCTGGGCTGGGTCTGAGGAGGGACATCTGTGCAGAAGATGGCGAGTGCTAAAAGGCTGGAGGAGAAGAGCTCAGGAGAACGGGTTAAGGTCAAGTAACTGTTTCTTTGAATTCAGTCAAAAGAGTGAAAAACAGTGAGCCTACGAAGTGCAGATGTCTTTACTCTCCTTTCCTGATCATCAGAGTCTATTGTCAGTTATTCAAGTTCTTCCTATGCTCATGACCTTCGGTAACACTTTTTTAATATACTCATCTAGGTTGCCCTAAATATTCTTAGCTGCAGAACGGCTGTTTTAAGGAAGAAGTCATTTGAGGAAAAAGCATTCCTGTTTCCCTCACTGAAACTTTCATCTTGATTCTTTTTAAGCCAAACTTGGGCCTGTTCTCCCACCTTCCCTGATGCTTTAGCTGAAGTTTGCTCTATTTGAACCAAGTATTTGCCCGTCTCTCGTGCTAAATGGCATTTCACTTCCCTCATGCTTTCCATCTCTTTTAATGAACTTCTAGCTCCTTCCCCTTTATCCAGACTGAAAGTCTGTCCTAACCCATCTCTCTTTTCTCTTCCTCCTCATGTGTGTTACAGCATATCTGAACTTATGTCTGGAAGTCTCAAGTGACTGAGCTTTCTCGTAGTATTGCTGGTGTTCCCCAGTGTCTTTCAAGCTTAGAAATGTTTTCTCACAGCGTTTTCTCTCATCCACAGTCGTGTTTCAGCCAAATAGCTAAAAAATTACTAGCTCATCCAGATCTTCCAAACTTTCAGTTAGGTTTGATTGGGGAAGACAAGGAGGGAAGAAGCAAATATTCAAACAGTTGGTTTTATCAGAGCTGTCCCCCCGACATGGCCTAAGCAAATGATTTGCATTTGTTCCCTGGAGCAGGTCCCCTGGTATCTTTGCAGCCAGTTGTATCAGTGAGATCTTGCTCATGTATGCAGAAAAGCGAGCGAAGTCAGCGTTTTCATTGCTTCTTGTGAGCTGCTGCCACAAAAATACTGGCTATCTCTGTTAATAAACTAGCAAAACATCATTCACACAGGTGAGGGTGACACTAAACCCCAGAAAGGAGAGACTGTCTCAAGGACATTTTAAAACCATATGGCCGCAATTGAGTGCCTTTCAAACCAACTTTTGGAAAGTCAGTGTAAAAGTAATTCTTAGAGTTATGATTTGGTTGCAATTTATATCCAGTTTTCAGTTTTTAATGATATTGCAACATTCCACCCATTAGGAACAAATCACATTAGCATTACTTGCCCAAAGCCATGTTTGCCAGGCCTTTCCTGGAAGGGGTGGGAAGAGCAACTCACTGAAAGATTCAGACTCCCTGGCTTCCTCATGATACTGCTGTGAGGCTGGAGGCAGAAGTACGCTTGCAGCAAACACATCAAGAGAAGTTGGGCAGCAGGCATTATGTCTGGAAATACTGCAAAAGAAAAAGATAGTGGTATGTTTCTAGGGCCCAAGAAAAGAGCTTGGCTGTCTTGGCTGCATGCTTTTCCTTTCTGCAGCAGCTCCAGCATTTGCATTGCGTGGCCTATACAAGTGGGAAGCAGCAGGAAGGAAAAAGGAACTGGCTAGTGGTTTTCTTCTCTTGGTTTTCTTTAAACTGTCACTAACAGTACAGAACAGGTTCATGACACGTTGAAGTTCACCCTTTCAAAGGCAGACTTTGTAACCCGGGTTTACCCAGGAGGGAAACAGCGTGGAAGACGGAATGCCAGTAAACTTGCATCGGTGATGCCCAGTGCTTTCACGAAAAGTACAAAGCACTGCAAAGAAACTAAAGGCTCTGTACGTGTGTCTTCTGCTGGCTTGGGATGCTTCAGAATGGGTTAGACAAGAAAGGATATGCTGAAGCAGAAAAAAAGCACATTCCAACCAATCTGTGGATGGACTGGGATCCAGGGCTGCAATTTGCAAGTGTCACTGCAGCATAGGAGTCACTCAAGATTCGGAACTGGTAGCAAGAAACAGGAGATAAATGACTGGGAGAAATACATTGACAGATAGATTTAGATTTGGGGCATTCGTTTTTGATTCCTCACTTTAAATGACACTTAAAATAAATTAATGTGTCCTGTCTGCATGTCTGAGAGAAATCACTCAAGCTGTTAACTATTTCCTAAGCCCAACCACTGTTCCACCTTTTAATTTTAGCACTGCAGTAAAATGGCATGTGAGTCAAAGCCACCCTTGTTTTTTGCAAAAGAAATACCAAGTTGTTTTAAAAATTGGAGTTTTGTCAATATGAACTGAAATCTCAATAATTGACCCTGAAGCTCTCTACCTCTGTAATTAAGGCCTCTGGAGAACCCGGTGATCTGAACAAAAGCTGTACTTCAGCTCATTAGTTTTGCAAAAGCCAGGTCCCTTTTCTTTCTGATGTGCAACCAGAAATAGCTTGTAGAGTTATAACTTATGCTGCCCTGTCTCACTAGCCGACTCTAAAGCCTCTTCCCAGCTGAGCTGCCTTTGCATGTCTAACTTGTCGCTTCACACAAACAGCTGGGTTTTGAATCACTTTACAGATCCCAGCATTTATTCATCTCACCTAAATTTCTAAATAAAGGCTTAATTGGCAGTAAGCGAATACTCCTGTGTGCCAGATTTAGGCAAACCTGTTAAAAAATTGCACTAAAAGTTTTGCAGTTAAACTCAGCACTTTACCTGCAATCAAACTCAGCATTTTAAAGCAGCATACATCTTTTTATACTCATAAAGAGATTAAAACCAGCATTTTCATCACACTCCAAGACCAGACCACATTTTATTTCCTCTGATTTGGTTATTAATTGATTAATAACAAATTAGTGTGTGCAGTGCAAAGCAGACAAAGGAATTGTGAAGATCAGTGGAATGGTGGTGAGTGGAGAAGGTGTAATAGTTCTTCCTAGAGAAGACAGTGTTCACTATGGGTCAGAAGGGTTAAGTTAAAAAACTTACTGAGATTTTCTGTAGAAAGATGTTTGAATTTGTAGGCGGTGGCCAATGATTCGTATTAAAGGCTTCTCGTTAGGAGGAGCAGGGAGATGAAGAATATTGGATAGTATTTTGGAAATAGGGAAGTTGTTTTAAGATCTCTGTCCCTTCAAAGATAAGTGTAAAAACTTTCATGGAAGGTTTTCCTCCATGGGGGGCATGCAGACTCTCAGAACAAAAAATACCTTGAAAGAACAAAGGTCGAAGTTGGTCTTAAACGTCTTATTCAAAGGATTCAAGGAGATCATGTGGCTGAGACATACGCTATTATGGTCTATCCTCTGCTTGCCTGTATTTGATCTATCTCGAATTTTACAAAAAGCGATTGACAAGGCTGAAGTTCTCTAAAGTGAGGATTGAAGAAAGCAGAGGAAGAAGAGTTTGTTTGGACTCTGACAGAAGAACTTGAGAAAAATATTATTTATTAAAAGACAAGAGAGGTACTGAATAACAGGAAGGATGGTTATAGGTTGAATTAAATAATTTTGGGGGATAATGTTTCAAAATTTTGAATCCAGTGAAGTCTAAGGAAATTTGGCATTCATTTTTTTGAGATCAAGAGTCATCTTTGAGATTTCTTGCATTTTCTGCTTCAATGGGAGCTGGAAATCCTACAGAAATACACTCAGCAATTTCTCATATTTGGAGTGACTTTCTTCTGCTCTCAGAGCTTGTTCTGTATCACATTTTGTCTTGGCTAAAAATGCACTTTTCTTTTCTTACCTCATCTCCTAACCTACTTTTTTTAGTAATGCTGTTTGAAACTCAGGGCTCATGCAGCAAAAGGTTGTGGCTGGCGCACATGACCTACAGAACACTTTCATTTCAGTGTTTAAATACAAATTGCTTCGATGGAATAAATTGTTGGTGAAAGGCGCTGTTTAAAATCAGCACGTGCCACTGCAGGAGACATTTCTTGAACCCCTCTGAGGACCCCATCTCGATGCAGGGATTGATTCAGATAAACCGCGTGTAACAGGAATACAAGTAGTCTGCAGTGGATGCATGAAGTGCTTCGTAGAGCTCTGTTGCTGATTTTTACTTTCTGTGAACATGCTTTGGACAGCTGTGCCTGTGACCTTGTTTGCTAATGACTAATGC